CCTGGAGCTTTTGCTAGATATCAGTCAAATGATGACTTGGGTGATCATATGAAAATCACCTGGGTCTTTTGGAGGAGCACATGGCATTGCTGACAAAAGATATAGGAAGTTTTTTTCTTAGTATGACTCTTAATTTAGCAATTCACATTATCAAAGGAAGAGACCCTGCCCAACAATAGCAAATACAATGAACAGAATGAACCCTGCAATTTTATGACATGATCCCTAACAATGGAGTCTATTATAATCAACTTGCTGAGTATCAAAATGTGACAGTAGCCCTTCAAATGCCTGAGCTGGAAGGAAAAGCTACTGTGCAATCCTGATGAACCTTTTATCTTCACTTCACTGTAACACATTATGCAGATTGCAGAATTGTATGCTGTCTCTCTTAAAGGCTCCCTCTTCTAAGCTACAACTGTTTGTGCAGACTCTGAATTTCCAATTACAAGTTTGTGGGTCTTTTTAAATGCAAGATGATTCTTTTACAAGCAGTTGTGTTTAAACTAATAGTGATCTTTATACTTATGGCATGACAGAATGTTATGGGATGCTCTTGAGAGGAAGGATTGAGAGTCAGATGGTCTTGAGATTAAGTCACTGGACTCAGGAGTTCTGAGCTGAATTCCCAGCTCTGCCAAAGATACCCTGTGTGGTCTTGGGCAAGTCACTTAATCTCCCTGAGTTTATGTTCCTCATTTGTAAAATGGGATAATACAGTGAAACCCCGCCATAACGCAATAATTGGGGTCCAAAAAATTCGATCGCAAAAAATGTGGGCTCGCTTTATAGCAGGGTTATGAAAATTTACCATTTCAAGCCGGTCAGTTTAAGTCTTGTAAAAAAAACAACGGTTATCCCAGCATGTTTTAAACTCAAAAGTAGTAATTTAATTATATGTACATGAAAGAAACATGTGAAATTGACTATACTAATCATTGCGCAAAGTGCAAAGTCAATCTGGTTGCATGACTCCATAATTTTAAATTTCATCACTTCTTAAAAAAGCTATCTAGTGTGGTCTGCTTATTTGCCGCAGATTGTTGGCTTCTAGCAAAGTCAAGAATGCTTCTGAGTTGGAGGATTTTGACACTGTCCACGTCTTGAGTTTCCAGGCACCGCACACTGGCTTCTAGGTGCTTTACTGCCTCGGACACTTTTGGTGGGGGAGTTGAGGTGCCATCATTGTCGTCGTCGTCGTCATTACTGCCACTGGTTTTGGGCTCTGGTGGTGCAGCTTCATTCTTCCCGCGGACATTTGCGACAATTTCGTCATCTGAGATGTGTTCATATATGGGGCAGATGTCATCTGCTGAAACCAGTTGAGGATATCATGATGACTGTGCTCATATTCTCTGAGTGCTTCTTCGGCTAAACGTACGTCATCTTCAATGAATCTTGTAAATTCAGGCTCGTCATCGTTCCCATCATCGTGTGTAGATGATGGAAAAGCTGGACCAAGACCCTTTAACCAGCATCGTTCAATGCAACGTGCAGCGATAGCATCCCAGGCTTTCCCGCTGAGGTGACAGACTTCTTTCAAGTTGAGCCACGCCAGTGATGTGTTGATGGGGGTGTTGTTATCCGCTACCATCTGCTTGATCATTTCGTGACGATAGTTTTGCTTAAATACCGATATGATGCCTTGGTCCAGTGGCTGGATTTCTGACGTAGTGTTCTTCGGGAGATAAGAGACTTTAATCTTGCCGCCACGACTGACAAGATTTTCCATTGGGGGGTGGGCAGGGCAATTATCCAACAGGATAAGAGCTTTTTGCTCCTGCTTGAGTTTTCACAAATGAGCCCGAACGGCTGGCAAGAAAGTTTTATGGAACCAGTCTTCAAATATGGAGCTGTTCATCCATGCATTCTTGCTGTTGGTGAATTCAAAGGGAAGGGGCTTCATATTAACACGATGAAAACATCTGGGAGACCTCACTTTTCCGATCATCAGAGGTCTGACTTTGTGGCTGCCAGACTTGTTGACGCAAAACAAGAGAGTGATTTGGTCCTTCCTCTGTTTAAAGCCTTCTCATTTGTGACTATCAGTCCTGGTTGCAAGGGTGAGATCAGGTAACATTTTAAAACATAAACCAGTCTTGTCGCAGTTGTAAACTTGATCGGCTGTGTAGCAACCTTCCTCCAGCAACTTTTTAAGCTCAATTGGGTAGGAATTGGCAGCCTCTTTATCAGCTGAGCAGATTTCCCCAGACACAAGAACTTGGCTTATAGCGTGCCTTTTCTTGAATCTGTCCAGCCAGCCGTTACTCGCCTTAAATTTGGATTCATTTCCATTGATAAGGTGACCAAATTTCTCGGCTTGAGCTTTCAGAATAGGGCCAGAAATGGGAAATCCTTCTGAGCGAGCCTGGACAAACCATTGGTACAAGGCTGAATCTAGGCTTTCGTCATTAGCAAACTTGATCGTTTTACACTGTAAACCAGTTTCCTCTTCAAGAATGCAGGATAGGATACGGAGCTTTTCTTCTTCTTTTTTCCACCCTCGCAGAGTGGACTTGCTAATTCCTAGATCTCTAGGAAGCTGAGTTTGTTGTTTGCTCTTCTTTAGTTGATCCAGGGCATACAATTTCTCTTGGGCAGAAAATGACTTGTGTTTGCAAACTAGCGCGTATCCATAACGGTAAAATATTTTTAAAAATATAGGAAATTAAAAACAAGTTCATAGGCAAACACCATACACATGTACAACCCGAGAACCAAGTGCAATGGGCCTGCAATGGCCACGGTCACTTTATCCTATAAGACTGGAAGAACGCTGTTTATTTATAAATGTCGTAAAAGAAGTATTCTGGCAAAACGCAAACAGTATTACGGCCTTAAAGGGGAGCCAACTTATGATCGTGTTATATCCAAATTCACGTTATCGCAGGGCGTGTTATTGCGAGGTTTGACTGTACATCCTTTGCCTGTCTTGTCTAATAGTTTGTAAGCTCTTTAGGACAGGGAGAATCTCTGACTCTGTGCATGTACAATGCCTAGCACAATGGGCCGTGGCCGGCACCTCTAGGTGATACTGTAATACAATTAATGATGATGATGGATCCTTTTTAATAAGGAAGGTTATGTCCTATTGGCTTTAGTCACAACTGCTTCACAAACACAGCCAACTAGTACTAGGGAGCAGATATATTTGCTGCAATGTAGGGCCAAAGCCTGAACAGTGCTGAGTACCTGCAGGAGCCACAGAAGTCAATGGAAGATGCAAATGCTCAGCTCCTCTTGTGATCCAACCCAGTGAGAAAATGAATCATGCTGTAAGTCAGATTGATTTTTGGTTTATACTTTAGAAGATGGGAGGCCTCAAGTTTCACCTGTAACCACCCACTGCCATCACAGGAAGCCAGTCTCATGAGATATGCCCATCTGCAAGGGGATCCTTGCTCAGTCCTCCAGAAGAAGGGGAAAAGAGCTCAGGTTCCGTTCCTTCCTGTGTGGCTTATAATGGTTTCTGGTGTTCTGGGTGCAAATGAGTGTATGGCCAGTGCTGTTTTGAACTGTTCTGCTTTCAGATGAATATTACTGGTAAAACCTTGCAGGGGCCAATTTGCCCAGTTTGGTTTCAACCATCAATAAATTCTTGACTCTGCCATCACCTGGGAGTCCTGCAAGGGAACAGAGGAGCCTCTGACTATCTCCCCGTCTCATCCCACAGGAAGAGAAGCAACTTCCCAAACGGGGGAAGAGGAGCACCTTTCCCAGTCTCCTTACATTTGCAGGAAGGATGCATGGGCAGCTGATCCCATTGGGCAGCAGCAGAAGGGCCCCAGGGTGTGCTGTGGCTCACTTCCCTGCATTGTTGGCACTGGTGGCCAGAGAGAGGGAAACAGGAGAGCAGTTAACCACTTTGGGATATATGTCCAGTGCCTGTAAAAAGGTATATGCTCTCTTTCCCCCCACCCCCAAAATCTTTTGTTTCCTAATCAAAAGAATGGGAAATGTATCTTAAAAAAACAAAAACAAAGGGAGAGGAGAGAGGCTCAGGGCCTGATTCTCCTTTCATTTGAATCAGTTTTACTCCAGGGTAAGTGTACTACTCTCACTTGAGTCACTCCTGATTACACCAGGCTCGCTGCATTGACTTCAGTGGAGTCACTACTGATCTCCACTGCCATAAATGGGAAGAGAAGCAGACCCCATCTTTAATATCAAATTTAAATAATTCTATCTCTTCTCAAGCTTGATGCCCTATTACAGATTCAGATCTATTTCAGCCAATCTGAAACCATCCGCACAATAGGAGAGTGGTGTGACTGCCACATAGGTTGACTCAACAGTGAGCAGAGCTTCCCCCAACCAGTGGCTGGGCAGGCTGTGTGCACCTTACAGGCCTCAAACACAGACCCTCGTGGTCCCTCCATAGTAACTCTACCAGGTAAGCCAAAAGGGAGCATTTTGCTGGTCAAACACAAGGAGCTCCTTCTCAGCCTGTCTCAGTTGTAAGTTGCTTTTTGCATCTCTTCTTTGCAGCAGGAAATACTTTCATCTCTCACCCCTGTATTAACAAACTTTGACCCTAAGCTATTAGATCTTTGTTCCCGCAACCTCCAAGACTACTTCCACTTGAACCGTTCTGCTTCTATTTGAAATAATCAGCTGTAGTAAATGGCAATAAATATCACCGTGATCCTACATGTAGTGTTGCTTTCTGACTGTGAATTTGAAAGACAAGGTTCTCATGATAACAATTAATAATAATGCATAATACTTCTGTAGCACCTTTCATCTGAGTATCTGAAAGCACCAAACATTAATTGACTCTCATACTAACATTGCAAGGCAAGTATGATTATACCTGTTTTACATATGGAGAAAATGAGGCATAACGGTTATTTGGCCAGTGGTCATACAGTGAGTCACTGTCACAGCCTGCATTGAAACACAGGTATGCCAACTCCCAGTCCTGTGTTCTAACCACTAGGAAATCTGCCTCACTGTGTGGGATGTGCAGCAGTCCTGTGTCTACAAAGCCTCCATTATACCTGAGTAGGACTGGCCCACAGTAGGTGGGATGTATTTTGGTGCACATGTCCTCCAGCTGCAGCCGCTCCCCTGGGCTGATGTCATAGTTGTGCTTAGGCTTTGGGTAGCTAACCAGCCAGCCGTAGTCTACGCCCGTCTTTATCTTGCGATACTCATTCTCTCTCTCTAGTTGCTGTTTCTCTGCCTGCTTGATCTGCCAGCCTAGTTCCATCATTAGTGTTTCCACCACCATCTCTGTGGGGTTCCTTTGGGGAATCCGGCTCGGTGGCTCATTCCATCTGAACCAGGAAGCCAGCGACATGCTTCCCCAGTTTTTTTACCTGTAAAGAAAAAACACATTATTGTTAATGCTTTCACTGCATTTGCTGCATCTCTCCAATTTGCAGGACTGGATTTTCCAGAGCTCAGCACCCAGCACCTCCCCACCCAGACCAGTAAGTGCTGCTGGTTGCTGAGCACTTTTGAAAATCTCATCAATAGGGGCCTGATTGTGCCTGGCCTTTGTGCAGATTTGCAGGGGGGAGAAGGAAGGTGCAAGGAGACACTGCCCCCCCCCCTCACCCCTACTATGCCCATTAAAGGGCCAACCGGTCACAATCACAGCGTCTGAGTTTAGAAGAGCCCAGTGCCTGCTGCTTTATTCATTTAACCATGGGGAAGAATAATGCACTAAAGGGAACAGGGGCAGGGCCAAAGCCTGAGCAACTTCCACTGCCAAACCCCGGCATATTTGAGAGCTGAGAGAGAGGGACTGTGCCCTATAGGACAATTCTCCCCACACTCCCTATGGGACAGAGAGGCTCCACGCCACCCCCAACCTAGGCCTTGAATGTTCCTGCAGTTTTCTTCCAGTAGCAATGGAGCTCTCAGGAGCTGATCAAGTATTGGGGGCAGCTTCACTGGTGCTGATCGAAAGTGGTGTGAATTACAGTAATATCTCACATCTGGCCAACCGAGGATCTGATGATAGGAAAGTGCTTTACAAAAGTGGGTATGATCATCTCCATTTTACAGATGGGGAAACTGAGGCACATAAAGGCAAAATGATTTGTCCAAGGTCATAGAGTAAGTCAGTGGCAAAGCTGGGACTCTCCTGTATGTACACGTACACACATACTCTCTCTCATGTTTTTAACACATAACGATCACTATGGTTCCTTCTTACCATTCACACCTTCCTGTTCCAGCAAAAGCTTCCACCCCAGGAGGTATTCACGCCAAAGAAGGACAAGCTGTGTTACCACCCCTACCCTCCCTTGGAGCTTCCACTGGCAGAGGTAGCTCCAGTTTGCAGCCAGGGGTCCTGAGTACTGCCAGCAGATTGAGGCAGTGTGCTGAATTAACACATCCTGCGCTCACTCTGGCCACACTCCCTTTTCAGCCTTCTGTGGCCCCCTAGTGGAGGTGCAGATGCAGCCACATCCTGCTAATGACCAGCATATTATTGTATCTGATGATATATCTTAGTGCCCTTGTCATAAGGAATTCCTCCTAGTTAATGGCAGTGGTTAGCAGACAGCTGGCACCCAGGACTTTGGACAGATTTTTCTTGGCTTAGACACTGAGTTGCTGCCTGACCTTGGGCAAGTCACTTAACCTTTGTGTGCTTTGGTTTGTATATCTGTAAAATGGTGACAATGATACTGACCTGCCCCACAGGAGCTTTGTGAGACCTGATAAAATGGGGGACGGGGGTCACACACTCCACTGCTTCTGTCAGCTGAGTTCATTGCATGCACCAGAGGCTCCTTGCATCTCTCCATTCCCCCCACAAGCTCTCCATGTGCTACCCTTCCCCCACTCCCTATTTCAGCTATTCCTTGCACCCCACCACCCTCCCTTATGCCAGGGGTTCTTTGTTCCCCAACTGCTCCCTTCCCCCATACCAGGGTGCCCCATTCTCCCCCCACAACCCCATGCCAGGGGCTCTGCATGTGTCTCCTTTCCTAGAGGGTTGCACACTTCATTGCTTATGTTGCTTAGGTAGGCAGAGCTGTATTCCTTTCACTCCACTCCCTCTCCCCTGACAATGCTCACTCCCCTCCAGGTCCCTGCTTCCCCCCCCATTCCCAAGCCTTAGAGGAAGCATTTTTAGTGGTGGAAGCAGGGACCGAGAAGTAGGCAGGCCACTCACTCAGTATTAAACTGAACAGTCATTTGCTTTTCTAGGGTTTGTCCCCCAAAACCACATGTGGTTTTGTCCAGTATTGGATGGGGGATGCCCTTTTGAAGAGAGTATTGCTCTGCACAGATCACGCTGGCGGGGACAGAGCATCATGCTCTTCAAAAATGGCACCCCCTGTGTAGCGTGACCTTGCACACACTGCACATTTGATGACACACCAGCATGGGCAGGCCCACACCATTCCCAGAAGTACTGGAACACCCAGTGTTCCAGGAATGTGTGAATGGCCACCTTACCCAGAAGGGATTGTGGGGAGGGATGAGGAAACACTACAGCTCAACTACATAAGCAACAAAGTGTATCCCCCCCATCATGGGGCTGGCGAGTATCCTGCCTGTGTAGGGGCAGAAGTGTGTGGGGTGCCATGTAATGCCCTGAGAGCAGTGCAGCGAAGAAAAGCCACTCGCATGCGAGAACTGGGTTGGGCTGTGTCTGTCTCTTTGACACTCCTACAAATGGTTTTCCAAGTTTTCTGATTGTCACCAAAATCAAGCGGATTCTGCCCATTGATGCCTAGCACATTCCGTGAAGTTCTGGAATTCACTGGACGTGGCCTTCAAAAGTTATTGCGTTGCATACAAACAGAGAAATGCCATCAAGTTGTGTTTAGGGCCTCGCTTTGCTTGGCCAATAACATCTGTGAAGTTCTTTGAGATCCTCAATTGAAAAGCACTGGAGGGACAATTTTGTGACAGTAACGATGGGCTGAAGAAGCAGAGTGCAGGTGGAGATTAGATCTAGGCTCAGCTCTAGAGCCTGGATTTGAGGCTGAATCCTGCCTTTGGGCTCAATAGTGCTAAAGTCTTATGAGCTGCCATCATAAGATTTCAGCACCTCACAAGATCAGTTGATCCCACAAAAGTTCCATCTTCCTGCTTAGTGTTTAAAGAACTCAGGCAGCCTGTGCAAGACTTGTAATTGAATCAGTATACCTTACCCCTACTGGTTTTTGCCCACCAGAGGCTGCCCATGCCAACTACAGAAGAATTCAGTGAGTGCCAGTCACAGTCTGCTCAACACAACGGCTGCCTGGTTCCTTACTTGCTACGTGCTGTGTTGTATTCTTGGAATAAAGCCTGAAACTGCTTCAGCTGAACCTGAGTCAGTTGTGAGTGTTGAGAGTTCCACCATGTCATGGAACAAGCTAAGACCAGCCACTCTCATATTTCAGCCACATCTGAAGATAGGTTTGGGATTTGACCCAGAACCGAAACAAGAGAAGCAGGTTTGGAACAGGGCATTCAAATGTGAACACCCTCTCCTGTCTAATATACGAAGGGGTTTGGAGCTGGGGGTCAGCTCATCCCTAATTATATTATTGCTAGTCGCAGTAGTAGTAACCATAGTGTCATGCAGAGCTTTTGATTTAAACGGAGGAGTTACATGCACTGAGGGAAGGCCCTGGGACCCCCACTGACTTCTAAAAACAGGTGGCCTGACTGTTCTGGTGTGCTGGAACTGTACAAGCAGGCAATATCAGCTATTAATATCAACTATTAATGGAACAGCAAGGGCTGTCCTGGGGGGGAAGTGAAAGCATGCATACGCTTGCACTATTATTTTCAAATTAAATGCAACTGTGTTGCTGGATGTGTTTATATTGTATTTGGGCAGAACATACAACACCAACCAGCTCCTCCTAGTGTAGTCATTTCAACAGCACTCTGTATCGACCATTGTAATGACGATTATTGTTGACACAATAGAGTCCGAAGCAGATGCTCAGAGCATGAAGAAGAGCATGCACAAAACAGCATCTACTATTTCTTCTCCTAACACACTTACATGCCTTGCTGCTTCTGTCCATTAGTCCTCAGGGATGGGCACAAAGGATATCAGCAGTGGAGGTTACAGAGAGGCTAATGTCAACCAGTTCTAGCTCGGTCAGGATATGACATGCCATGACTCAAAGGGGCATATGAACCAGGTGATGGGCTAAGGGCCTTGATCCTGCAAAGCACTTGGGACTAACCGAATAATCAGAGGGTGGAGAGATGTTTACATGAAGAAATATTTAAGTCAACACAATGAGCAGGCTCAGTAGGCTGGCCAAAAATTTTTCATTTAAATTTTTTTCCAATGGAAGATTGTTTGCAACAAAATGAAGATTTTCACAGGAAATATCTGCTTTTGTCACCATTTTTTTTTTTAAACAGAAAACTGAAAATTCAAAACCCACATTTTTTTTAGTTTTTAGCTGAACATTTTGGGGTTCTGTTTTTTTGATGAAAAAAGTCAAAATTTTCCATGGGGGATTTCTCCCTGCCCCCAACCAGCTTTAGTGCTCAGCAGCTTGCAGGACGAGATTCCAACAGGGTTTTCCTACATCTGTGGATCCAGGCCTAACACTCTGAAAGGGTTTGCCCCCAAAATGAAGAGTATTGCATCATGATCCAAATGTTGTGATGGCACCAGTTAAATATCTCAGTGTCATTTATCAGCTTCATCCGTTGCTGTGTGAGCAACGAGTAGGGTTGCTAACTTTCTAGTCGCACAAAACCAAACACCCTAGCCCCTCCCCTTCCCCAAGGCCCTGCCCCTTCCCTGGGGTCCCGCCCCCCACTCACTACATTCCCCCTCCCTCGGTGGCTCACTCTCCCCCACCCTCACTCAATTTCACTGGGCTGGGGGTACAGGAGGGGGTGAGGGCTCTAACTGGGGGTGCAGAGTCTGGGGTGGGGCTGAGGATGAGTGGTTTGGAGTGAAGGAGGGGGGTCCAGGCTGGGGGGTGGGGCCGAGGTCTTTGGAGTGCAGAAGGGGGCTGCGGGTTGAGGCATGGGGTTGGGGTACAGGAGGGGGTGAAGGCTCTCAGCTGGGGCCACGGATGAGGGGTATGGGAGGGAGCTCTGGGTTGGGGCAGAGGGTTGAGGTGTGTGTGGGGGGTGAGAGCTCTGGGCTGGGGGTGCGGGCACTGGGGTGGGGCTGAGGGTTTGGGGTGCAGGAGGGTGCTCCAGGTTTGGGGGGGGTCAGGTCTGGGGCAGGGGGTTGGGGCGTGGGCTTACCTTGGGCGGCTCCCAGTCAGCGGGGCAGCAGAGGGGCTAAGGCACGCTGCCTGCCTGTCCTGGCACTGTGCTGCATGCACCCTGGAAGCGGCCAGCAGGTCCGGCTCCTAGGCCATGGTCCAGGAAGATCCAT